CACACGTCTTGGATATTTTGTTATGGCTTCTGTTTTCAATATTTTTTATTTGATTTTCAGTTTTTGAAGTTTCTATTGATATATCCTCAATCTCAAGAATTCTCTCCTCAACCATGTCCTGTCTACTTATTAATCCTTAATGGCATTCTTCATTTCTATTACAGTGTTGTTGTCGTCATTTTTCTGTAGCATTTATTTTTTATTATTTCTTGGAATTGCCATTTCTTGGCTTGTATTACCCATATCTTCTTGTGTGTTGTCCTAGCATAGTCGTGACTGTTGTTAAATTAATGGTATTATGATTCCAACATCTCTGCCATATTTGAGCTTGATTTTGTCTTTTCAAACTATGCTTTGCCTTTTAGTGTGCCTTCCAATATTTTGTTGAAAGACAAGCATAATGTGCTAGTGAAAGAAACTCAATAAGTGGTCATGTGACAGTAAAGGGCCAGGGGAGGTGAAGCATTCCACAGTACTATGAGTGAGCTCTTTCGGTGAGCTTGTACGTCTGAGCTCGTACCTTTACAAGTGCCTCTCATTTTACCTTTTCCTCATCTTAAATGGGACAGGATGACTGAAGAGTGCTGGAACCGAGTATTTCCCTTTTCTTCTGTAGATGTTTAAGAGAGAGCTGGAATCTTGTACTTCTCTTCCCCTTATGGAAGGCTAGAGCTAGCTGGATGCTGGTTCAGTTCAGCTAGACTTGCCTAGTTCAGTTAGCCTCTAATAAAATCTCGGTAGTTTGGGCTCTGATAAAATGGTTTCTCGTGATTACAGGCTTTGTTAAGAAAAACAGTATACTCTGGTGTATTTCAAGATGATTACTTTAAGAGCTGGGCAGGGCAGCTCATGCCCATAATCCCACCAATTTTGGAGACCAAAGTGAGAGGATCACTCGAAGCCAGTAGTTTAAGACCAGCATGACAACAAAGTGAGACCCACCTTTACAAAAAATTTTAAAATTAGCCAGGCATGATGGAACTACTCAGGAGACTGAGACAGGAGGACCTCTTGAGACCTGGAATTTGAGGTTATGGTGAGCTCAGCTAGAGCTTGTCTCTATTAAATACATAAATAAAATGTAGATAGATAGATACGGATATATTACTCTATCTGTCCATCTGCCAGAAGCCCAAGGGGATTTTCCTCTGATAGTCACTGTGAGGACCTAGCAGAACTCCAGGAAGTAAAATTCACAAAAGTGTAGGACCTTCTGGAGTTTTTGATTCTCAAACCTTCCAGCAATTAATCAATTACAATTCAGGTTTTCCTACCTGGGCACTGTTTCTCATGGAGGTTTAGCCTGTGCATTTCTGCTCTTCTCTGTATGAACTTTTGAATATTTGGAGTAGTGGTTTGCCTAGTCACTTCACTTCTTTGACAGTTCTATGAGTGTTGATTTTTTTCAGTTTGTTCATACTTTTACTTGTTAGAATGAAGTGGCAACCTCCAAGCTTCTTTACATGCCAGGTTAGAAACTGGAAGTCCTACGGTTAATATTTTGAGGATAGGTCTGTTCTCACCCTGCCCATTCCTGTTCACCCAGTTCACATTCTCTTGCCTTTCCTTCTCCCTTTGCGAGATTTCTAAGTCCAACACAAAGATTGTATTCAATCTAGTCTAGGTCATGTGAATATGCTAAACAATCATGAAACAATGGAAAAAATAGATAAATCCACCAAGGAATTAAGATATTTTAGAAAAAAAAATATCAGTTTTTTTTTTTTTTTGCAAAACTTAGAAATAGATTTTTTGGGTGTTTTTCGTTGGTTTATTTGAAAGAAATTCCTTTAATTTAAAAAAGTGTATGCTTTTGTTTAAATCCTCAAAACTATTATGAGTAGCTGGGAATGGTAAGTAATCAGAATTTACTACAGAACGAAAGCAGACAACTTTTATAAGTAGCATTTCTGCCCTTCAAGGAACAGATATACTCAGTTGCACAACCTTGCTAAATATCTCTTAAGAATAACTCTGATGCAAAATGACAAAACTCTTTGTTCAGCCAGCACGTCATAAATGAACAGGACATGGGGCAATCTCCACTCTCTACGTGAACCCCTAAACTCACCAAAGTAGGAAGGAAAGAAATGGAAAGGGGCTCCTCGCCTGACATAATAGATCTGAGCAACCTTTCATGTCTTAGTGGTTAAAACCCTGTTCAAAGAAATGTCTCTCTTTAAAATGTTTGTTTATAAGTTAAATATTGTACACAAAGAAAAGTTTATTTGGAATTTTGAACATTAAGAGTCTTTATTGTTCATTTTCTTTTAACTCACATGAATGGTTCATCACTTCAACTACTGCATATTTCAATCTTTTTCAATATATTCATGAAACTTAAATCTAAACTGAGCACTACAATGTGAATGTGTAAGAACATTGTAACATTAAACACAAAATCTGTCTGGCAATTTTTCCAGCACCTTAGAATAAAATAAGTTGACAAAAATTCAAGCAGCAGAAGGGGGCAGTAAAACTCAACAGAATACTCTGGATGATTTTTAATATTCTTTTGCTCTTCATACAGAGAATTTTCCAACAAATTTCAGAGGTTAATAAAAAATGTTGAACAGCAGATACACATATTTGCTTCAAATATACACAGAAACATTGAATATGTACAAACATGAGAGCTATAATTGTTACATAATCAAAACCTGCTTTTTTTTATGGTGCACAATAATCATAGTACTTTTCCATATAGAGCAGGTCTAGCCATCTTAATTTACTTTGGGACATTTAATATCTTTTCATGACCAGTATCACAAAATGGACTTATCTATTTTATTTTAGTGTCTCAATTTGTTAATATTTTCAAATAAATTATGCAATATTTTTTCCTTAAGCCCATATTTGGACTTCTTTTCAAAACCGTATCCATCCTTAAAGTCTCAGTTTCTCCTTGAACTCTTCTCTGATTTATAGGTACATTGAACTCTCTTCACTCTATCCTGTTGTGTAAGTTAGATGAAACAAAGTAATTTGACCAAATAGATATTTTTTCATTGAATTTCCACTATGAGACAGAGCTCAAATCCTTTGAGTTTCAAGTAGCTTAAATATGATTATTCTTCATGCCCTGTGTTTTCCTCACATTTGAATTCAGAATCTCTTTACAAACAACAGAGCACACTTCTATATAAAGTAGGTATACAATTAATATCTGATAAGGATAATGATGATGATGACTTCAAAATAAATTCAGGATTATAATGCACATGACATCTAACCTAAGCTAGAATTAGTAGCCCTAACTCTAAATTTAACTTGCTCATTTAAATTGAAACAGAAAATTGAAAGTATTAAAAAGAAAATTATCATGTTCTTAGTTAAAAATTCATAAAGGACTCAATACAATAAATGAGAGTACCCCAAATGAAATGATTAAATATGACCAGAGGAGATAAAGGTTTACTAGATAAAATAGAATTTTAGTCATTTGTGACTTATGTAGAATCAGATGTGTACAGTAAGCAGAATGTTTTTAAAAAAATTCAAGTGAGTATCTTTTTAAAAAAATTTTTCTGTAAGACTTCTACAAATTGAGGTTCTGGTGTAGCTTTATTTCAGGTTTTATGACATCCTTTTCCTTTAATGCTAAGAAGCTATGCCTTAACTGAATTTTCTATTCAGTTTCACTTCTTTGCTGCAATTATTTTTCTTGTATTTGCCCTCACATACCCTCACATTCATATATTCACTTGCCCACCACTAAAGACAGATATTAAACAAAAGCAAAAGAAAATGAAATCCAAACTCTCAAAATCTCCCTTCCATCTAATTAATTCCTCATCAAACTCTGTTCCTAACTGAGAACAGAAAATTAGCCCTAATAAACCCAGATCATTGAAAGGTAAGTGCAATGTTGTATTTTGATCTATCTTGAAAAAGTGGTCAGAAAAGACCCAAAAAAGGAAACTTTAAAACTCTAATTTCTTTTATTGGTATCTCCTTAGAAGAGCCAGTGGCCAAAATGATGAACACCACGCAACAGTGAAAGAAATGCATGAAGGCAGACGTTTTAGACATTTAGCGCCGCTGCCTCCCTTGCCCAGCAGAAGACAGGAAACTTTATACTGGTGATCCTGGAATTCAAATTAACTATTTACGAGGCAACAGTTTAGGAGCAGTATTGTGGAAGAAAATTTACCTTTTTTTTTCCGCTCCAAGAAACAAGGTGAGGGTGAGGGTGCGGAGAATAGTATTTCTTTTATGTATTTATTTCTTTAGACACCAGGTTTCGCCCAGTCTCCCAAGCTGGAGTGCAGTGACTCACCATAGCACACTGCAACCTCGAACTCCTGGCCTGAAGCGATCCTTCCGCAACAGCCTCACCAAGATCTAGGATTACAGGCACACAACTCTACGCCCGGCTGGAGAACAGGATTTCTTATATTAATTAGCAGAATAAACGTTAAAAGTTAAGGATGCGTGTGTGTGCGCTGCACACACAGAAGGTTAAGAGTCGTCACGACTCCCACCGCGCGCCCCCAAGCCGTAGAGCCCGGCGCGCGCGGGGATTCCCCGCGCTGTGGGATTTCGGGGGCCGCCCGGGTTTCCAGAGCGGAAGCCCAGTGTCCCTTTTCTCTCCTCGGTGTCCCTCCCAGGGTGATCAGCCCGGGCACCGGCTCTCAGAAGCGCTGGGGCAAAGACTGGGAGAGAGGAAGGGAATCTGGCGGAAACCTGGACGGGGGGGGGGGGGGGCGGGGGCGGAGGAATCCGGGAGGGACAGGGTGGATCAGAGGGGTGGAGGGACAGCCCGCTCTGCACGCACCTTGGGGCAGCTTCCCGGGTTTCCGATTTTCTCGTCTGCTTGGGGGAAGAAAAAAAAAAATCCTGCTCCCACTCGGGCTTACGCAATGTTTCATGGGGAGGGGGTTAAGGCGGAAAGAAGCCGTCATGTCGTCACATGGGCTTGGTGTTCAGACATAAAAGGAAGGTTCCCTCCGTTAGCGTCCAGTTGTCAAACGACTTGCTGCCAGGTCGGGAGCGCACTCGGACTCAGCAGCGCCGCCCTCCGCCCTGCAGCCAGATTCCCGCAGACGCGGCGCCTCGCCCGCCACGCGCCCGGCCACCGCGATGCTCGCCCGCGCCCTGCTGCTCAGCGCGGTCTTGGCGCTCAGCCACGCAGGTGGGTACCTGGCTCGGCGCCCTGGGGACTCCCCGCTTCCGCGCACGCTGGCATAGCTTCCACTCTGGACGCTCGGGTCCATCCTGGTGCCGAGACGACTCTCCCAAGAGAGAAATTGCGTGGCTTGGGAGAGAGCTTGGACCACTGGAGTCCCAAAGAACTCGGTGGACACTCCCGCCTTGCCCCAGGCTCAGCTCAGCAGGGACCGGCTGTTCTTTAACCGGTCTGGGACTCACTCTCATCTGCTCAATGGGGAGAGTGATACTGATGTGCAGATTGACATTATGATAAATAGAATCTGATCCATATATGTCAATCTTGGCGTGGGAAACCTCCTGGTAGGGAATAGAGGAAGTTGTTTTAAAAACTCTAGTCAGTGCTGTCCCCCTAGAAAAGCCCAGAATTACTTCTTAAGGGAAGCAAAATGTTTTGAAATTTTTCCTACATTTTGATTAATGTACTGGATCTATACATTTTAATTTTGAAAATGCTACTTATTCGGGCTTCTTTAAAATGCTAATTTGAACATACAAAAACTTACTAGGAAAAAACTTAGTAATATGATTTACTAAGTTGAATATTATTTCACCCATATTAGAGTAGGAAGTTTGAATTTCTATGTTTTAACTATTCTGTGAGGCAGGCTTTAAAACAATTATTTTCTTGACTCCCTATATATTTCCCGAATTTATCATTGTACAGTTGACTCATAGTTAGTAAAACAATTGAAGGTTTAAGTTAAGACTAAGACACTGAAGAATGATTTATATGCTGTTCTTGCTTTTCTTGTAGCAAATCCTTGCTGTTCCCACCCATGTCAAAACCAAGGTGTGTGTATGAGTGTAGGATTCGACCAGTATAAGTGCGACTGTACCCGGACGGGATTCTACGGTGAAAACTGTTCAACACGTAAGTTACCCTCAGGTGTCATCATTTGGAATGGAGTTAAATATAGTTTTACAGATTTATGTCTTAGAGTGATGCTCGCCCGCGCCCATTAACTTCTCCCTCCTTTGCTTCCTCTTCTTGCAGCTGAACTTCTGACAAGAATAAAATTACTCCTGAAACCCACTCCAAATACAGTGCACTACATACTTACCCACTTCAGGGGAGTCTGGAATATCGTCAATAACATTCCCTTCCTTCGACATGCAATTATGAGATATGTTTTGACATGTAAGTACAATTCTTTCTAAGGTTTTTAGCTTCCTCAAAGAAAAATGTGCTTTATAATCCTGTAGCTTACTTAACCTATTTCCAAGCTTGTCAAAAGAACTTTAAATATACATTTTTCAGTTTGCCTTCGATTTTAATGGCCCCAAATACTGACATTTAGTTCCATTCTGTTCATACAGTCAGAATTCTACTCACAGCTCTGCATATCTTTTCTAACCTGCACTGCTCTGGTCAATTTGCAGAGAGCATATGGTCCAATTGTTTATTGAATGCCCATGGACCACAGAATTGTTCTGAACATGTAGCATCCATTAATAAATGTTAATTTGAATTTGAATAGGAAGAAAATCACTTTCTGTAATTCTACAGTGTCATGCCCAGTCATTTCTGTCATAGGCCTCTTGAGTAGTGAGTAGATGGTTACCTGAAAAATTAGGATTGCTAGATCATAATTATCTTGTGTAAAGTGTATATATTTTATTAAAGATATATTTTAAGTGACAGATTTTAAAGCACAGTTGTTTTAAAATGAGTATCTTTGTTGGAGTTAAGTTCAATCTCTAATGCCACTTTCCACATTTTATAATAAAAATGATCACTGGTGTGTTTTGCATGTGGGAACAACTGAAGCATTTTTTTCCCTTGAAAATTTCAGCCAGAACAAACATGATTGAGACTGTACCAACTTACAATGCACACTATGGCTACAAAAACTGGGAGGCCTTCTCCAACCTTTCCTATTATACCAGAGTCCTTCCTCCTGTGCCTGAGGACTGCCCAACTCCCATGGGTGTGAAAGGTGAGTAAGACAAAGCCATCAGAGACTGCAAGAAGGATTGGATTACTCCCTAAGAAATCTGGCCTCAGGCTATGATTTATTTGTTAACAAAGGTAGTAGTTTTCCTTTATTGTGGATATCTATGGATATTTGTTTAAAATATGAATCTATGTAAACTATTCTGTGAAAGTAAATGAGCATCTTGGCATGTCTTAATACTTTCAAATTTTTTCATAAAAACTGAATTAATACCAATTAAAATAGATAAAATTATTCAGTATGAAGTTATTCGCCTATATCCTAGCACTGTCATTTATATTATGATCCTATTCACAAGTATACATGTCTTATAAATGAAGAATTCTTGGTACATTGATAGTCATTGTCTGCCTTCTTGAATATATAAATGAATTCTTATCTTAGTTTTCTCATTTTTTAGGGAAGAAGCAGCTTCCAGATTCAAAAGAGATTGTGGAAAAATTTCTTCTAAGAAGAGAGTTCATCCCTGATCCCCAAGGCACAAATGTGATGTTTGCATTCTTTGCCCAGCACTTCACACATCAGTTTTTCAAGACAGATCATAAGCAAGGACCAGCTTTCACCAAAGGACTGGGCCATGGGGTAAGACAGAGTTAAATCAGAATTATAGCAAGTCATAGTGATGTGCTAACATTTAAAGTAGGTAGATAGATAATAATTCATCCTCTTTTAAAAGAAAGTCTTATCTTCTATTTTAATTCACTGGTTTAGTAAAAATATATGCAGAGGCATGTACACACACATATATACATTCATATACATATATATACAGATATTATTATTTGTAATTTGTCCCCTATAGTTTTAGTTTAAAATATTAGCACTCCAAGACATATCTTCAAAAACATATTTGTACTCTGATTATGCTGTTTTCAATAGTATAAGGTGAGATTTTTGTAGCACTATTATATTTTGAATTTCAGTTACATAGCTTCAATTTATTGATAAGTTTTTTAATAAAGAATACCTTTTCTTATACTTTTTAAAGAATTAACATGTTTATAGTGAAGTGTATGCAATACTATAAGCACATTGTAGTATACTAATTCCTTTAAACACAGAGACACATAGTTTTGTAGCTTTAGTAATTTGTAATTCGAGTGTAGTATATAATAATTAATATGTACTAATTAGTAATTTGTAGCTATAAAAAAGTATGTCTTATTGAAAAATTTTAAAGAATGATAAATCATCAAATTATTTAGTGATAAAATATATGGTAGACACTTTATATAAAAACAACTTCGAAAGCAGCAAATTAAAATTTTTCATAATTTTCTAGGTGGACTTAAGTCATATTTATGGGGAAACTCTGGATAGACAACATAAACTGCGTCTTTTCAAGGATGGAAAGATGAAATATCAGGTATGTCTCTTTTGAATATTAAAGAATTAGCTGTGACTTACCACTTACACTTATATTTTAAAATCCCTAAAAATGTGTTTCTTAGCTGTTTAATTAACATTCATCTATTGTTGGTATTTTTTAGGTAATTGATGGAGAGGTGTATCCTCCCACAGTCAAAGATACTCAGGCTGAGATGATCTATCCCCCTCATGTCCCTGAACACATGCGGTTTGCTGTGGGGCAGGAGGTCTTTGGGCTGGTGCCTGGTCTGATGATGTATGCCACAATCTGGCTGCGGGAACACAACAGAGTGTGCGACGTGCTCAAACAGGAGCATCCAGAATGGGATGATGAGCAGTTGTTCCAGACAACCAGGCTAATACTGATAGGTAAGCAAGAGGAGATAATGATTTCAATGAGATCCCTTCCCCAGAGAAAACGAAGTAATTTTGAGTCACTTATGCCATGTGGCAAATGAAAAATCACACACACTATCTTAATTCAGTCTGTGAGTGTGACTGGTAGTATAATAACCTTTTGTTTTGATATTAACAAGGGAAAAAGAAGTGACGAAATAGGTAATTAGCAAAATTACCTTTGAATCGCTTAGAATTTTGTGATAAAAGAATTAATATTTTAATTATTTATTATGTGCAATTAGGAGAGACTATTAAGATTGTCATTGAGGACTATGTACAACACTTGAGCGGCTATCACTTCAAACTGAAGTTTGACCCAGAACTGCTTTTCAGCCAACAATTTCAGTACCAAAACCGTATTGCTGCTGAATTTAACACACTCTATCACTGGCATCCCCTTCTACCTGATACTTTTCAAATCGATGACCAGAAATACAACTATCAACAGTTTCTCTACAACAACTCGATATTATTGGAACATGGAGTTACCCAGTTTGTTGAATCATTCACCAGGCAAATTGCTGGCAGGGTAAGCATTATTATTAAAAAACTAATCAATAGATTAGTCAGTATAACTTTAGAATTTGTCACAGAATTTTTTTTTAACTTCTAAAAAAGAGTAATTAATTATATTACTAGAAAAAATTATTGAAATAAGTCTAACTTTTTTTGAAAAGTCTAAACTTTTAGTCTACTGTTGTCAAACAAATAGCAAATTGTATTCCTACCTTAAAAATAGATGTTTTCAAAAACTACCTATAGTCTTAAAGAAATACATATTTCAAACTGGAATACCAGCATCATTTCTGTAATTTAAAAAGGCAAATTAGTTCTAGACTACTGTCGCATTGAATTTTAAGCACAGCTCCTGTTGAAAGGTATGTAAGCGTTTGTCCAAGAAATGAAAATAGTCTCAACTGGTAGTGTCAGTCTTGCCTAATGGGTACCTGAGGAAAACTTTTAAAATAGAAATAGTAAATATCCCTAAAAATCTTGTTTCTCAATCGAATCTATTTTTCACAGGTTGCTGGTGGTAGGAATGTTCCACTTGCAGTACAAAAAGTATCAAAGGCTTCAATCGACCAGAGCAGAGAGATGAAATACCAGTCTTTTAATGAGTACCGCAAACGCTTTATGCTGAAGCCTTATGAATCATTTGAAGAACTTACAGGTGAGAAATAGTGTCTAAACTTCTTAAAAGAATCACAGGTCAAATGGAAACAACAGAGAAATTGAAAGCAAACTGAGCAAAGGAGGAAAACTATTGTTTATTTTGTTGTTTTACATTGGTTTTATCACCTTCACAGGTGAGAAGGAAATGGCTGCAGAATTGGAAGCCCTCTATGGTGACATTGATGCCATGGAGCTGTACCCTGCCCTTCTGGTAGAAAAGCCTCGTCCAGATGCCATATTTGGTGAGACCATGGTAGAACTTGGAGCACCATTCTCCTTGAGAGGACTTATGGGTAATGCTATATGTTCTCCTGCCTACTGGAAGCCGAGCACTTTTGGTGGAGAAGTAGGTTTTAAAATCATCAACACTGCCTCGATTCAGTCTCTCATTTGCAATAACGTGAAAGGCTGTCCCTTTACTTCATTCAATGTTCCGGATCCGCAGCTCATCAAAGCAGTGACCATTAACGCAAGTGCTTCCCGTTCTGGACTGGATGACATCAACCCTACAGTGCTGCTAAAGGAACGTTCGTCTGAACTGTAGAAGTCTAATGACTGTATTTATTTATTTATATGAACCATGCCTTTTAACTTAATTATTTAATAATATTTATATGAAACTCCTTATGTTACTGTATAACATCTGTAACAGAAGTCAGTACTCTTGTTGCAGAGAAAGGAGTCATACTTGTGAAGATTTTTGTCACTACTTTAAAGATTTTTTTTCAAGTTAAATAGAAAAAAGTTTTCTTTTTTTTTATAAATCAGGAAAAATGAGTTTTCACATTTTTACTTGAATTTCAATTTATAATATAAGAAAAAGGATGTTTGAACACAAATACTGTTCCAAGATGGCAAAATGCTGAAAGTTTCTATACTGTCAATATTTCCAATGTATCTTTCATGATGCTTTAGAAGCAGCTAATGTTTGGAATTCATAAGTATTTGGGGGCATCTTTCTGTCATCAAACAAACAAACAAAAAGCCACAAGTGCATTTTTAAATGAATGTCTAAATTGGACATTACCAATAATTTTTATTTTTTAAAAGCAGTATTGAAGCAATAGTTTGAAATTTCTAAATTAATAAGGTAAAATCACTTTTCAAAAACTTCTTTTATTTCCTAAACTAAACTTGTACCTATATCAATAAAAGAGGCTGTCTTGGATTTGAATCTTTAAATTAGTATAAATTATATTACAATTGCTTGTTAAAATAGTTCATAAGAGATGTTGCTTTTTCACCAGGAATGGAAACTCCATTTTCTGCAACTGTTAACTTCCTTTTAAATCAAAATGCCAAATATATAATGGTGGTGGAGCCACTGCAGACTTACCTTAAAATATTTTATTTTGAGAGATTCCATAATTTGTTTATATGACTGGTAACAAGTAAAATCTACAGCAGCAAATGAGTCTACATTTAAAATAAGGAATAACAAAGAAGAAAAGCAAACTGTCATTCCAATTTGGGTTTAAACTTTTGATAGAGACTTTATTTTATCCTTGTGCACTGCAGATCTGTATTTTGCTGTGAGATTAATGAATTACCATGCTATACTTGGATAACAGCCTGTTTTCTTAGATTTTCTGTTGTACAGTATGATTTAGCAGTCCATATCACACTGCAAAAAGTAGCCATGGCCTCATAAAATACCTCTTCAAAATGCAGAAATGCATTTCACACGTGAATTTTGTCTGAATCTTGATAAGCCAATTCAGCATATGCATTTGAATCAAGCCTGGCTACTTGCATGCTGCTCCTTTTATGTTCTTTTAGCCATTTTGCTAAGAGAAAATCTCTTCTGATCATTTTATTTCTTCTGTTTTGATTAACTGGTTTTAAGATCAGAGATCGTCTTTTTTTGGACTCTGTATTTTCTTACCTGAACAAGTTTTCAGGAAAACCTCAGCTCAGGACTAGGATTTAGCTCCTCTTAAGAAAAATAAACGGGAAGAAAAAAAAAAAAGGTCCCTTAAAAGAAAAGAAGTATACGCTTATTTTAAGTGCAGGGCAGAAAATTTTATTTATAACATTCTAATTATCTGTAGCCCAAGGAACCTACAAAGACGCTAGTGCCTCAGAAAGAACAGTGGGAGTTTTGTGACAGGAAGAATGTTACATTCCTATCTAATTATTGCCCTTTCTCAGTTAAAAACAAAACCAAACAATTTCTAAGAAGTTCCCAGCAATAATATTAATGTCGATAATTATAATACTTCTTTTCCACATCTCATTGTCAGCTGACATTTAATGGTACTGTATATTACTTAATTTATTAAGAATTGTTATTTATGTCTTATTAGGACGTTATTGTTATAAACTGTATTTAAGCCTACAATCATCGATTTTTTTTTTTTCATGATGTCTGAATCAATGAATCTTCTTTGGGATTACCTCTTTGAATTGTAATGTCAACAATCAAAAGAAGTGATTGTATTAAGATTTGTGAGCAAATGTTTAGAAGTCAAACTCTGGCTTATTGAGATTGTTTAAGGTTAGAATTTGTGTGTTTAGGAGTGACCTCTACGCCAGCCTACAGGGAACACCGTCTCATTAGCCTGACCCTGCCATAAGACTGACCTTTTATACATTTGTGAAGGAACTGTTGATGCTTCATTAACTTATTCAGCCATAATTTATTGAGAAAATATTCTGTACAAAGCACTGTGGGTTTTAATATTTTTAAATCAAACACTGATTACAGATAATGTTAGTATTTGTGTAAATGAAAAAATATGTCTTGAAAGAAAAGAGAGAAAATGAATAAATTTAATTAAAGAGAACTAACTCAGGATAATTTTTCTTTAAGATTTTAAGTTTAGAAATTTAAAGTTAATAAAGAAATAGTCAACATTAGAAATTTTTATATAAAAAATGATTAACTTCACTGGTTTTTCCCTGAAAGAAAAAAACTTAATTTGTTATTAACATCAACCTGCTAACTGAACCTGGGCATTTAGGTTGTGTATGTGAATGTTTCAGTGCCTCAGACAAATGTGTATTTAAATTATCTTGTGTAAAATATAATTATTGAAATAAATGTCTGTTTATTTTTATACTATTTAAAAATTGACAAATCTTTTCTGAAAATAAATTTTGACTGTTTCTATATATACCTTTGTCATCTAATGTATGATTTCTCTGAAGCATTATTTTTGAAGTCACCTGTTACCTTGTGTTCTATCTATTCAAACCTAAGCTGACCCTTAATGTAATTATTTTGGCCTTAGTTACACAGAGGTTTTCGAGAGTCACTATTTATAATCTCTTATTCACTGCAACACTTTTAAAAGGACAAAAATACACAAAACACAAAGAATATGACAAGTGTAACTGAGGAGGTACAAAATAAAAGAAAAGGAAGTTCAAACAGGAAGGAAATCATACCCAGTTGGACAAATCATTAATACTTGGCTACTCTTACACCCCTACTCTCAATAATTTATTGGTAATTTCAATATCTACATGGATTGCACATTTAGCATCTCCCCTGGCCTTTCTTCTTTTGCCTTCTCCATTCCAGTGGTGCCTTGTTCCGCCATATTTCTCATAATCACACACGCTTTGATTTCATCATCATTCATTACGGCACCTCTTTAAAAATGTTGATTTCTAGTATCTCCTGGCTCACCTTGAGTGCTCTCATTCCTCCATCAAACTCTCAGTTTCACTGAGCCTACTGATCCATCAACTCATCAATACACTTTTTATCACCACGTTTACCTTTTCATTTACTTCCTTATGCATCTAGTTCAGATTCCATTGTTCATCATTATAATCACTCCCTTGCTTCCTCCTTACTCTCTCTGTATTGTACCTAATTGGCACATCTTGATTAAATTCAGTCATTCTCCTAATCTGTTGTGTTTTTTTTTTTATTTAGCAGTAGCATTCATCGCAAATGTCTATAGTCTCTACTGAAAGTTCCCCCCCACCCCAACATGGCATGATTTGATAACTTCCTAGTCTTTTTCCCACCTTCACAGTGTTATTACTCAGTCTTCTCTCTCTTTTTTAAAGCTTCTTCTCCTTTATCTATAAGTTGAAATGTCTTGATCCCTTTTTTCTCTGTCTGAACTCTTCCAGGTAAACACATTTATGCTGAAAATCTAAAATAATGATCACTCCCAAATGTATATCTTCAGAACTAACCTCTAATTGTCATTTGACAACCTCTCCACCCAAAGTTGGAAATTTACTTATTTAACATTTTTTCCTCCCAGCACCATATACCCCAAATAATAATTATTCAAAGTAAAAGACATCATCATCCCCCTAGGACTTAAAAAAAACTCTTTCCTATGCTCCCATAGTGAATCCAACAGCAATCCTGTGGACCACAACCCACAAGCAAATTCTAGAACTGCCATCTTTTTCTCCAACTCCACTACTACCAACTTAGTCAATAATCTTTTAATTGGTGTTCTCTCTTAAATTCTTTCCTCAGTCAAAACCCTTCTCCTTATGGCAGCGAGAGTAGTGCTTTTTAAACATAAGTCAGATCATTTCTCTCTCATGTTTGAAATCTTCCAGTGGCTCCCTACTACAGGATGGATAAATATAAACTCTTTATCCTATTCTATGAAGATATCAATAATATATCATCTACCTATCTGATCTCAATTAGTACAATTCCCCATCTTTATTTATTTTGTACCAGACACATTGACTTTCTTGTGGTTTGCTCACTAACAGTAATTCTAAAGCTGGTGTCAGTATTTAGAATGTTTCTTTTGGAGATATTTACATGGCTGGACCCTTTTCAACATCCACATCTCAGCTCATGTCTCTTCTCTTCAGAAAAATCTTCCCTAAACACTCAAAATAAAGCAAATACTAAGACAGTTTCATTTTCTTTTTACCATTTATTTCTATCTGACATTTTCATGTTTGTATGCTGGCTATCTGTTTCCCCTTTCTAGAATTTTATGTCTATGAAAGCAAGGACCTTGTCTGTATTGTTCACTGCTCACAGTCCTGACATTTAAAAGGCATTAAAAATATGATTAATGAATAAGAATAAGCTTCATGAGAGAAGTGGAACATGTGGTCATTCTTGAAGAAAGAGTAAAATCAGAAACAGAGATAAAATAAAGATATTCATGGAAAAAAGCTTGGCAGTTTCTTCTACAACTAAAATTCCACCATGTGGTTTCTTTAATCCTCATCCAGACTGCCACAGTAGATTATCCCATAGTGGATACTCAACCCAAGCTGGAAAAATACAATTCTCTTTCCTAGGAATCTAGCAATTAGGATGGAGGTTCTAGTTCAGTCTGACAATGTTACAGTCAGTGATTATGCCTATATAATCTCATTGGTAAGTCAAAAAGTCTTTTCAACAAATGGTATAGGAATGATTAAACACTCACATGAAAGGAAAGAACATCAATGATACTTCACAACACTCACAAGTTAATTCAAAAGGTTCGTGTATTTACATATAAAAGCTAGAAATATAAATATTCTTTAAAAAATAGTACATCTTCATGAACCTGGAGTAGGCAAAGAATTTTAGATAAAATTCAGAAAGCACTAATCATAGAAGAAAAAAGAACAAAGTGGATTTCATAAAATTAACCAAATTGCTCATCAAAAGACTATATCAACAAAAACTGAATAGACAAGCCAGAATCATAGAAAATAGTCACAATATACATAGCTAACAAAGAAGTTGAATATAGAGTATGTAACTAACTCCAACTCAACAGCAAAAGACAAAAAAAAAAAAAAAAAAAACAGCAGACTTAAGCAGGAACTTTACAAAAAAAAAAATCAATGGCCAATAAGTACACAAAAATGTGTTTGATATCACATTTAGCACCAGAAAAAATACAAATTAAAACCACAGTGAGATACTACTACACACCTACTAGAATTATTAAGATTTAAAAGACCAACTGTGATGGTTAATTTTGTGTGTCAACTTGACTCTAGTGCCTATTTATTTGTTCAAACACCAGTCTAGATGCTGCTGTGAAGGTAGTTTTTAGATATCATTAACATTTAAATTAGTAAATGTTGAATAAAATATATTTCTCTACATAATGTAATCAGTTGAAGGTCTTAAGAACAAATACTAAGGTCTTTCAAAGGAGAAGAAATTCTTCTTAAGACTACTGTGGTTTAAATTCATGTTGAAACTTAATCCTCAATGCAAAAAAACAGCATTACTAGGTGTGTTTGTTGGGTGGTGATTAAGTCAGGAGGTCTCTATTCTCATGAATGGAATTCGTACCCTCTTAAAAAGGTCTTGAGGAAATGGGTTCCCTCTTTTCAGCTCTTCCACCATGCGAGGATGTAGAAAGTAGGCCCTCACAAGGCACACATCCTGCTGGCAACTTGATTTTGGAATTCTCAGCCACTAGAATTGTGAGAAATAAATTTTAATTGTTTGTAAATTACTCTGTCTTTGGTATTTTGTTATAGCAACATAAATAGACGTTCAGGCAACAGAAAATGCAAGAGCTGTGGAAGCATACCTACCTCTACCTAGATCTCGAAGAATGCCTCAGAAAGCCTTGTGGCCCAGGCAGAGAAATGTCATAGAGGTAGGACCACAAGATAGTTCTCACTAGGGAAATGCCCAGTGGAGTTCTGGGTTCAAGGCCACCACAAAGAGTTCCTACTAGAGCAATGTTTAATAGAGCATGGAAGCTGGGTCAAGACCTCAGAACCGTAGCACCACCAGATTGTGATCTTAGTGTGGGAGAGTGGCAGGGACCTGACTCCAACCCTTTAGAGCTACTGCGTGGACTGTGCCCAGAAAAACCATGAGAGTGGGGCCACCCAAGGCCTTGGAAGTCCAACACCGACCCCAATATGTTTGGGAGACATGATGCAAAGTCAAAGAAAATTATTCTCAATCCTCAAGATTTTATATTGTTTGTCTTATTGGGGTTTGAACTTACTTTGGACTTGTTACTTGTTTCTTCATTCCCGTTGCTCCCTTTTGGAATAGGACGGTCTATTCTCTGCCTAACCCACCATTGTATCTGGAAGCACATAACTTGTTGGATTTCACAGGCTCACAGTTGGAGGGCAATCTGTCTCCGGATGAATTGTATGGGAAGTCTCATTCATATCTGATTTAGATATTTAGATGAGACTTTGGACTTAGACTTTAAAGTTGGATGCTGGGATGAGTTAAGACTTTTAAGGGCTATTGGGATAAAATGAATGTGAATGTATTCTGGGTGACATGAATTTTGGGGGATTTGAGAAGACATGAATTTTGGGGGATTTGGGTGGAATGCTATGCTTTGAGTGATGGTATCTCCTCCAAAATGTATGGTAAACTCGATCCTCATAGCACCACTGAGAAGTGTGGCCTTTGAGAAGTGATTAAATCATGAGGGTTCTGCCCTTATGAATGACAGTAGCATACTTATAAAAATGTTTGAGGGTAAAAAGAATCTTATCTTGCCCTTTTATTCCTTCTGCTATGTGAGGACACAGTGTTGATCCTTCCAAAGGACACAACAACGTGCCATCCTGAAAATGGATACTGGGTCCTCACCAGGTCCCAAACCTGCACCTTAATCATAGACTTCTCAGCCTCCAAAAGTGTGAGAAATAAATTTTTGTTGTTTATAAATTACCCAGCGTGTGGTATTTTGTTATAGCAGCTCACATGTACTGATGTACTACAACGTAAAAGCCCAGGTTCCCAGACTGCTGACCTGCAGAATTAATACTCAGAATTATACCAACTCCTGCCTGAATTTTTCAGCCTGCTGTCCTGCCCGATTTCAGGCATCCTGATCCCACAATCCCTTAAAATAAATCTATATCTCCCCTATTCTCTCCCCCCTCCCCCGGAGAACCCTGAGTAATACACCAACAGTACCAAATGTTGGTAAAGATGTTAGAAAATGGAATTCTCATAAATTGCTGATGCATGTGTAAAACACTACAACCATTTTTGAAACCAATTTGGCAGTTTCATGTAAAATTAAACATAAACTTACCCTATGATCTAGCAATTATACCTATAGTTATTTATCTAAAAGAGATGAATATAGGTATATACAAATAGACTTATATAAGAATGTCCATAACCACTTTATTCATAATATCTAAAACCTG